AAACTGCCCTTGTTCTCCCTTTCCGCAAAACCGGGGGACTGCAGGACGTGATGCCTCCCACTATCGTCCCATCGCTCTTACTAGTGCAGTTGGCCCAAAGTGATGGAACGTCTCGTAAATCGACGTTTAAATGTGGTAATTTAGACACACAACAGTCCTCCACTAGTCAGTAAAGGCTTTCGTAAGGGGCCCTTCTACCATAGACCCCTTACTACCTTGGAAAACATAGTTCGTAATGCCTTGCGAATAATCACTGAGTTATTGCCATATTTTTTTGACCTTGAGAAGGCATTATGACACAATTGGAGGTATAAAAATTTTGGGCCCAGGCCCACTCCTTAGGCCTCCAAGGCAATCTACCATCCTTCCTTAAGAACTTTTTAACTGACAGACATTTCCGTGTTCGAGTCAATAATGTTCTTTCCCCGGACTTCGTCCAAGCTGAAGGTGTCCCGCAGGGATGTGTTCTAAGCACAACACTTTTTCTCCTTGCTATAAATGATTTGACCTCTGTTCTTCCACCCAATATTTGGTCATCACTCTTTGTTTATGACTTCGCTATTGCTTGTGCAGGCGCTGACTGTCATCTCATTGCAGTTTCTCTCCAGCATGCGGTCGACCGTGTTTCCACTTGGGCCACCACGCATGGGTTTAAATTTTCAAGTACCAAAACTCGCCAAATTACTTTCACTAGACGCTCTGTCATCTCCGATCATCCTTTGTATCTCTATGGCTCCCGTATCCCCGAACGTGATAGTCAGGTTTCCAAGCCTTCTCTTTGACCGTAGGTTATCCTGGAAACCTCACATTACCTCTCTGAAGGCAACTTGTCACAGCTGGCTAAACCTTCTTAAAACCCTTGCTCATCTTTCCTGGGGAGCTGATCGTCGAACTCTGCTTCGCCTACATTCAGCCCTCGTTTTATTGAAACTCGATTATGGTGACCAGATTTATTCCGCGGCCTCTCCTGCTACTCCCTCTAGCCTTAACTCTATCCATCACCAAGGATTACGTTTGTGCCTTGGTGCTTTTCACTCTTCCCCTGTTGAGAGCCTCTATACAGAAGCGAATGTTCCATCCTTGTCTGATCGCCGTGATGCCCATTGCCTTCGCTACTATGTACGCTCTCACGATCTACACAATCCTTCCATTTATAGAATGGTCACCGATGTTAGTAGACATTCTTTATTCGTTCGCCGCCCCTGTTTGCTCCGTCCCTTTTCTCTTCGCCTACATTCACTCGTCTTCCCTTCAGTTACCACCTTTATATGTTCATGTAGCATCTCACTTTTCCCTACCTCCCTGGGAAGTTCCGGCTGTTCGGGTCTGTTCTTTCTCACTCCCTTGCTCGAAAGCTCAACTGCCTACGGTGGCTTCCCGCTCTTTTTCTTGATCACTTCCACTCCCATTCTCATGCCACCGCTGTGTACACAGATGGCTCTAAGTCTTCAGACGGCGTCAGATTCGCAGCAGTGTTTCCGGACAGCGTCGTGCGGGGACATTTACTATCTTCAGCTAGCATTTTTACTGCTGAACTGTATGCCATTCTTGCAGCACTTACTCGTATCGCATCTATGCCTGTGTCATTTGTAGTAGTCTCGGACTCCCTTAGTGCTCTACAGGCTATACGAAAATTTGATACAACTCGTCCCCTAGTTCTCCGTATCCAACTTTGGCTACGCCGTATCTCTACCAAACATAAAGATATTGTTTTTTGTTGGGTCCCTGGTCATGTCGACGTACAGGGCAATGAACAAGCAGACACTGCTGCGCAGTCAGCAGTACATGACCTACCAATTTCCTATCGAGGTGTTCCATTTCTGGACTATTTTGCTGCAATAGCTACCCACCTTCGCACCCGTTGGCAACAACATTGGTCAACTCTGCTCGGTAACAAACTTCATTCTATTATACCTAGCATAGGTTACTGGCCATCTTCTTGTCATCAGTGCCGAGGTTGGGAGACCACTCTCTCCTGCCTTCGCATTGGTCACACTCGTCTTACTCATGGGTATCTCATGGAGAGGCACCCTGTTCCTCTCTGTGAGCAGTGTCAAGTTCCAGTATCGATTAGCCACATTGTTAGACTGCCCTCTCTATCAACGAGCACGCAGAATTTACCTCCAACGTCGTCTTCGTTCTACTACTCTCTCTTTACCTTCCCTTCTTGCTGATGGACCCTCCTTTAATCCTGACTCTCTCATTGACTTCTTGACAACGACTGATTTACTCCTCAAACTCTGATGATACTTTTCACACTCCCCTCAGCCCTTTCTAGTTCAGTCTCTTGCTGCCCTTTACCCTTTCACCATCCACTGCCCCGCTGTTATCCGTAACTTATTACCCGTTCATCTCCCTTTTGCCACCTGATGCCCTCGCTTCCTTCCTGCCCTGCAGCGCTGTATAGTCCTTGTGGCTTAGCGCTTCTTTTTGATTATAATAAATTCCGGACAGCGTCGTGCGGGGGCATTTACTATCTTCGGCTAGCATTTTTACTGATGAATTGTATGCCATTCTTGCAGCACTTATTCGTATCGCATCTATGCCTGTGTCATCATTTGTGGTAGACTCCCTTAGTGCTCTACAGGCTATACGAAAATTTGATACATCTCGCCCCTTAGTTCTGCGTATCCAACTTTGGCTACGCTGTATCTCTACGAAGCATAAAGATATTATTTTTTGTTGGGTCCCTGGTCATGTTGACGTATAGGGCAATGAACAGGCAGACACTGCTGCGCGGTCAGCAGTACATGACCTACCAATTTCCTATAGAGGTGTTCCATTTCTGGACTATTTTGCTGCAATAGCTACCCACCTTCACGCCCGTTGGCAACAACGTTGGTCAACTCTGCTTAGTAACAAACTTCATTCTATTAAACCGAGCATAGGTTACTGGCCGTCTTCTTGTCATCAGTGCCGTGGTTGGGAGACCACTCTCTCCCGTCTTCGCATTGGTCACACTCGTCTTACTCACGGGCATCTCATGGAGAGGCACCCTGTACCTCTCTGTGAGCAGTGTCAAGTTCCTGTATCGATTATCCACATTCTGTTAGACTGCCCTCTCTATCAACGAGCACGCAGAATTTACCTCCAACACCGTCTTCGTTCTACTACTCTCTCTTTACCTTCCCTTCTTGCTGATGGACCCTCCTTTAATCCTGACTCTCTCATTGCCTTCTTGACAACGACTGATTTACTCCACAAACTCTGATACCTTACGCACTCCCCTCAGCCCTTTCTAGCTCAGTCTCTTGCTGCCCTTTACCCTTTCACCATCCACTTCTCCGCTATTATCCGTAACCTATTACTCGTCCACCTCCTTTTTGCCACCTGATGCCCTCGCTTCCTTGCTGCCCTCAGCGCTGTATAGCCCTTGTGGCTTAGCGCTTCTTTCTGATTATAATAATAATTGTCTATTGTTAAGTTTCAGTATCACTTGTTTTGAGGTTTATGGTTAATAAAGAATGACATGAAGAAAAAGTAAGAGCAAATGTGAATACATGATGAGCAAAAGATGTTCATCAGCTGGCTGAACATAGTGTGATGTGCTAAGTTCATCATTTTGCACATCATACCTAGGTCATACCTAGGTGTTCCACACATTTATGAATGCCAAAATCTACAACATTTTATATTGTTAGAAGTAGGGAAGGGATGATACCCAATTATTTGCTGATAATGATAATTTTAGGCAGGTACCAATGCCCTCAGAATTAAGAGTTACACTCTGATTCTGGCACAGATACCAAAATTGGCAATGTTTGCTGATATTTTGGCACACTCCTAGTTGGAAGTAATTGGAGATGGTGGCTACATAAATCAGTGTCCAATATGGCTGAAACAACAACAACAATTTGAGGTAAATATAGGAGGAAAGGTGGCTTAGTGTGCTTCACTTTGCTCAAGAGTGGCTAGTGATACTGTACTGTATTTTATTAAGAGTTATTGGTATCAGTTAACATGACTCGTGCCTTCAACCTGCTAACCTTCCTACAATAAGATTCATCCTAGTTGGATGAATCTTATTGTAGCTAGCTGGCCCAGTGGCTAACGCGTCGGTCTGGAGTTTTGCGACTCTGATCGCGGGTTCTAACCCTGCCTGTTGTATGGTTTGTTTGCAATTGTATCATTGTGATTTCGTGAGTCATGTTGACGGCTTTGAGGGGACTTGAGCTAGAGTTTGTCAGTCACGCTAGCAGGAGATTTGTCTAAAAACTTGCATTTGTGGTCACAGTGGTGTCTATGCTAACCTTCCTATGCTGTAGAAATACACCTAGTTGGACGAATCTTATTGTAGCTAGCTGGCCCAGTGGCTAACGCTTCGGTCTGGAGTTTTGTGACTGATTGTGGGTTCTAACCCTGCCCATGGTATGGTTTGTTTTCAAATTAACCTAACTTGGGTTTAATTAAAGCAAATATAGTCTGAAGAAAAAATGAACTTAAAAATTGACTGAGCAAACTGAAAAATTAAAATGAAAAAGTTTTGGCCACAATTTTTGTTTTTTCACTTTCAATTCCCATGAATGAGTGTTGGGAGTGAACAGCGTAGTTTCCATCCATTTGATCTAAAATGATTTTAATACATGACTGTTTCCTCGCCAGCCTTCTCTCTCGATCTATCCTCATTACTTCTGTTGTTAAACTCTAGTAACCCATTGTCTGACTATTCCTGAAGTCTATTCATGTCTTGTGCAGCCCTCTTATCATTTATATAAATATTTTGGTTGCATGTGTGATTAAGAATATTTAGAAGCTTGCTCCTATTGGTTAGTCATTTTTAGAGACTAGAAATAAAGGGAGCAGAGATTGTTAGATGCAGTCTCCTATCCTTCTACTTGTTTGTATTCATCCATCTTTAGTAAACTGGATATGTGGAGTAGAGAAAACAATACTTTGATTTGTCTCCTGTTTTAATGAACTTCTCAAGGAACTTCTATGAAATGTTTAAACTTTTAGATGTGTTACACTGAGCCCCTTGCTAACATACGTTTTCTTTTCAGCACAGCCAATGTTCCAACTTTGCTGCCAATCACTGAGGAGTCATCTCTGTTGTAATCAGTAATGAGGCGCCTCCCAAGCAGAGTATTTGCCATATCGCCTAGCGCCTTTGTTTCCAGCGGCTCCAGTCAAGCCCACACAAGCTCTTAAAACTTTTTTTATATAAATTCCCCAAGAGGATCCGAGAGCAGCATCGGCCCTCCATCTCAATACTGCCGCTACAAATGCTTCGTTCATCTTCTAGTACAAAACCATTGCTCCTCTCTTGTGACCATCCATGTTGGAGTGATTGTAAAGTTTCTGGGGCCTTGCTGTGACATACTTGTGACCAGTTTTGAGGGATCTGCCCTTGCAGCTCGGCTTGAGGCCAGGCTTCCTTGTTGATTGCTTGGTCAACCAGGCTGTTGCAGCTAGTGGCCCACAGGCCAACAGCCATCAGTCTGGCTGATTTGGTCCAGTTTCCTTGCTTGGTCATTGGCGTGGAATTGAGGACAGTGCTCTTTCTCATCCTAGTTTTATTTGATTGCATTTTAAAATATTGGTTTACATGTCCAGTTTTCAGCTACTGGCCACTCTAATTATTATGATTTTAAAAGAAAATTGTATAGTACTGGATAGGCATTGTTGAATTGTGTAATATACTTTCAGTGGTGTGTGTGCGTGTGTGTGTTTGTGTTGAGAATCAGTTACAGTTTTGCATTCATTTTCTTGAAGGATTTGAGTGTGTAAGGATGAAATGTCATTATCTTTTTTTTTCATAGGATGCACTAGCTTGCTCGATAAGTTTTCTGATATTCCATGTTGTAGTACTTGGTCTTGTAAAGTGATCAAGTGTTTAGCATGAAAATGTTCAATGAGAATGAAAAATAACTGATTCTTTTTACTTTTTTATAGAAGGGGGATCTTCCCCACTTGCCCATGGTAATTCTTTATTTTATAATCCTTATTGTAGGTGTGGGACAATGTTTTTTTGATAAATAAAAGCATTAAAAACATTTTTATTTATTGTCCTAAGAAAAATATATATTTAGAAACATAAAGCAGATAAAATGTATAACTACAACTAGAAACTAAACTCAAAATTACACATGGTAATACATAGAGGCTCTCCTGCATAATGGAAAGGTTATAAGGAGTAATTTTACGCATTACTCTCATTGACTTTTTGACAACTGACTTGCTCCACAAACTCTGATGATACCTTCAGCCCTTTCTACCTCGATCTCTTGTTAACCTCTACCCCTGCACTATCCCCTGCCCCGCTGTTTTCTGTAACCTACTAATCATCCCTTTCCCCTTCTGCCGCCCGATTACCCTCGCTTCCTTCCCTACCCTGCAGCGCTGTATAGTCCTTGTGGCTTAGCGCCTCTTTTTTATTATAATAATTCCGCATTACACAGTTTTATATTGCAAATTTTGAAGCTTGTGATATTCCTTTGACTACAATGTAAGAAATTTGAAAGTGGAAAAAAAAAAAATCAGGGGTTGATGTTAAGGTTGTCATGGGAAGTGGTGGTGATAAAAGGTTCTTGACAGAATTAGCTACATTCTTCCTTAGATGAAATTTTATAGAACTACCCATTCTCTAGGCACTACAGAACCCTTCAGGTTTAACTCTTTCCAATATAAGTATTCTAAACTTAAAAAGTTTAGTGCTTTTTTTTATAATCTAAACTAAAAAAAAAAAAAAAAATTGTGGGTTCAGCACTTTTTATTGTAATTTGAATTAAGCCTGAATACCTTCCATTCCCCCCCCCCCCAAGTGCTGTATAATCCTATGGGTTTAGTGCTTCTCCCTTGATTATAATAAAATTGTAATTTAAAATGAACAGTTTAGAACCTAAAGTGTTCCTCCTGACTTTTAACCTCTGAATCATTTATGAATGGAATGGAATTCCAACTATTGCATCTGGATACAAGAAAGCAATGCTGCATTTACTTTATTCATGGGGAAGTGTGAAGCTCTTGGGGTCATTCACTGTCTGGGGGAATGGGAAGTAATTGGGTTTGATTCAAGGAAGTGAAGGGTAACTCGAATTCCTTGGATCACAGTCTTCCATAGGATTTTCACCTTCATGATAGAAAGTGTTCAGATGTGGGTACAGGTGTTTATGCACACACTAAGAACTATTTTTTGAATTAAAGTATTAAGTATGCTTTTCATAACTTTTCTTTTAAGACTGGTGCTCTTTGCTTTAGGACTGTATACCAACAATGTAAGATTGATTTTTGCTAAGGGAATAGTTTAATTTTTAATCTGTTTATAATTTGATTACAATTTAACCTAATGTCATACCTTATAGGGCTGTATGACCCTTATAGGTTTAGTACTTTTTTGACTATAATATGTGGCTTAGCGCTTCCTTTTGATTGTAATAATAATAATTGATTATAATAACATACCTTATGGTTGTTTAATGCTTTGATTATTATAATAATCCTTATGGGTTTAGCACTTAAAATGTAATAAGGTAACGGCACATTACTAATGTAACCAATTTTGCTAAGATAAAAATAAGCATGAACTTATAATTTGATCCTTCAAGGTAAAGTATGTTGATGCTCATTAAGGGCTCTTAGTTACCTTCACCTTTGGATCAAACCTTATTATGTATTGCTTTTTCTAGGTACTTTGAACCTTGAGGGAGACTACTTGATGCTGGTGAGGGGCTCTTGATCTAGGGAATTGGATCTGCTCCAGTTCCCTGAATTAAGCCTGAATACCTTCCATCCCCTCCCCACAGGCACTGTATAATCCTATGGGTTTAGTGCTTCCCCATGATTATAAGTTGAATATAATTATATAGAATTTTGATATCTTGCTGGCAACCAAGACCTGTTTGTGTCTAGCTCCCAGTACAGGTTATGACAGGACCAAAGCTTTGTTTTAGAATGGGCAGCAGTAAATTAAGATGAAACTGAACACTAAAGATTTGTGCATACACAAAATGCAGCAAATACAGTATTTGACTAGATGTGAATTTTTGTTCATGTAAGACTTCTGATTCATATGAGCTGCACATGATTGCATATGGATGTGTGGAACATAGACAAACTTTACAAAAGAGCATCACAGGCTCGTGTGTTTTATATCATTAAATCTTTTTGGTTTTTCCAGAAAGTGATCCCAGAGATATTACTTGACTAGCCGGGGCAATCTGGACTTTATTCCGCGAAGCATTAACAAGAGTACTCAATACATTTGCTGGAGAGGCATCTACCGTTCTTACCGTAGCAGCAATTATGGGTTCGCCCTGATTCACATGAATTTTGGGACCTGACAAAGTTCGGCTGCTTTTCCTGCCATCAAAACTGGAAGCCTGACCAGCAAATCCACTACTGAATCCTGACTGACTGAATCCTCCAGATGTAAATTGACCTCCACCAAATCCTGCTTGACCCCCATGGCTACCTAGAGTCAATATGGGTCCTGATGAAACAATAGCACTGGTGACAGGACTAACACTCACAACTCCAGACCCTGAACTACCAACAAATCCACTTTTTCCAACTTGTTGAACAACAAGTTCATTGGCATCTACATTCCTGCCACGAAATCCAGCACCACTTTTGCTACTGAATCTGCTCCCAGCTGAAAATCCACCAGCTTGAGCAAGTCCACCATTGAATCCTGATTGAGTTGAGAGACTTCCCACAGTAACTGCAGGAGCAGGGGTGACAAAGCGAGCACTGGCCACTGGGGTAGCACTGGTGACCCCAGCAGAAAGTCCACTAGTTAAAAACCCACCACTTGAACTTGCCCCAGCTGAGCTAATGATTGGCGTGACTGTAGCAGCATTGATTATTGTTCCTGCAGTGCTGCCACTAAAGCCACTCCGTGACTGTTCAAATTTGCCTTTACTTGTCTGCTGTATAGTGTTAAAAGAGGGTGCAGAAGTTGAAACCAGAGCACGTGTGAGAGTAGCAGGAGTGACAGCATTAACAGTTCCTCCACCAATACCTGCTGCAAAGCCACTGGCACTTGACCCAGCAGAGAATCCTCCACCTCTTGCCTTTGCATTGAATCCACTGACACCCACACTTCCACCTGCTAATCCACTACCACCAACTGAAAATCCACCTGCTGCTTTACCTCCGAATCCTACTGACTGTCCACCACTTAGTCTTGTGCTGCTTCCTACACTCTTGACAGGGGCAGTAGTCGACGAAACGAAGGCACTGGTCACAGGAACTGCAGTGATAACTGAGCTTCCACTTCCACCAGATATGAATCCTCCTCCAGAGCTTACAAGTGGCTTAGCAGTAGTAGTAGAGCTGAAGCCGCCTCCACTGGTTGAGGCAAAACCAGAACTGAAGCTACCTCCAGCCTGCTGAGCACCAAATTCACCAGTACCACCGCTATGACTTATAGAAATTCCACTTGCTTTACTAATAGCACTGCTGCCACCAGTTCTTACAGTTGTACTGCCACTAAAACCACTTGCTGACTGTCCAAATTCTCCCTTGCTTAGCTGCTGTACAGTGCTGAAAGCAGGTGCAGGAGTTGATATTAGAGCGCTTACAACAGGAGCAGAAGTTGACCCGACAGAGAAGCCTCCTCTTGTCCTGCTGCTGATTCCACTAATACCCACACTTCCTCCACCTACTTGACCAGCTGAAAATCCACTTGCTGTTTGACCACTGAATCCTGTTTGACTAGCATGGCTTGCCACATTCTTTGAAGGAGCAGAAGTTGAAATAAAAGCACTGGATGCAGGAACTGCAGTGATGATGGAGCTTCCACTTCCACCGGATGTAAACCTGCTGCCTGAAGTTACTATCGGACTAGCTGTAGTAGTACTGAAGCCTCCTCCACTGGCTGAACTAGAACTGAAAACACTTCCAGTCTGCTGGGTACCAAATTCACCCGTACTACCAGTGTGACTTGTGGAAATGCCACCCCTACCTATGTGGCCAATAGAAAGGCCAGAGCCACCGGCTCCACTTATCCCAGTAACACCAAAGCCAGCCCCTCCTGCTTGACCGACACTAAAGCTAACTCCCCTGTCTTGTGTTTGAACAACAGATCCACCTCCTCCTCCTCCTCCTCTCTGGCTAACAGCAAAGCCATTTCCACTTCCAGTCTGACTTATACCAAAACCACCTTCCCCTCCTGTTTGACCAGCATCAAAACCACCACCACCACCACCACCTCCTGTCTGACCACCAAAACCACCTTCACCTGTGTGACCATCACCAAAGCCACCTTCACTTGTGCCAAAGCTTCCAGCACCACTTGTCTGGCTTACTGCAAAATCTCCTCCACCTTCTGACTGACCACCAAAGTCCCCTCCAGCCCCTGTAGCAAAGCCACCTGCTTGACTATCTGTAAAGCCACCATTGTCACCACTCACTCCCTCTGCATGTTCCTCACTAATGCCCTCTGAGTCAGCACTGCCAAATCCATCTGTCGATTCCTGCTCTCCACCTTCTTCATCTTCGTTAAATTCACTTTCTCCATCAGAATCACCATGATCACCACTATCTTCACCTTCACCTGTTAAAGCCTGTGCTTGTATACCTCCACTGCTAATTTCTTCAACTCCGCCTGAAGAAGCAAATCCATCGCTTTCTGAAGTGAAAGAAGCACTGCCTCCGGTGCTTGTTCCTTCATCAATGCCCGCTCCTGAGGTGAAGCCAGCACTCGTTCCTTCAAAGCTCGCTCCTGAAGTGAAGGTAGAGCTTGTTCCCGTGTCAAAGCCTGCTCCTTCTGAAATAAAGCTGGCGCTTGTTCCCCTGTCAAAACCTGCTGCTGTTTCCGAGGTGAAGTCAGTGCTTGTCCTTGATTCAACGCTGCCACTGCTGCCTCCTGCTCCTAGGCTGACACTTGCTGCTAAGCCAGAGCCAGATCTTGATCCTACACCAAAGCCTGTCCCTGCTCCTGATATAAAGCCAGTTCCTGCTCCAGAGCCAATGCCAACACCTGCTCCAGCTCCTGTTCCAACACCTGCACCAAAGCCAGCTCCTGCTCCAGTTCCTGCACCAAAGTCAGCTCTTGCTCCTGTTCCAACACCTGCACCGAAGCCAGTTCCAGTTCCAACACCTGCACCGAAGCCAGCTCCTGTTCCAACACCTGCACCGAAGCCAGTTCCAGTTTCAACACCTGCACTGAAGCCAGTTCCAGTTCCAACACCTGCACCAAAGCCAGCTCCTGTTCCAACATCTGCACTGAAGCCAGTTCCACCAGTTTCAACACCTGCACCGAAGCCAGTTCCAGTTCCAACACCTGCACCGAAGCCAGCTCCTGTTCCAACACCTGCACCGAAGCCAGTTCCAGCTCCTGTTCCAACACCTGCACTGAAGCCAGTTCCAGCTCCTGTTCCAACACCTGCACTGAAGCTAGTTCCAGCTCCTGTTCCAACACCTGCACTAAAGACACTTCCAGCTCCTGTTCCAACATCTGAATCAAAGCCAGCTCCTGCTCCTGCACCTGCACCGAAGCCAGCTCCTGCTCCTGCACCGAAGCCAGCTCCTGATCCACTTCCTGCTCCAGCACCGAAGCCAGCTCCTGATCCAGCTCCTGCACCAAAACCAGCTCCTGCACCGAAGCCAGCTCCTGATCCAGCTCCTGCACCGAAGCCAGCTCCAGCTCCTGCACCAATGCCAGCTCCTGATCCAGCTCCTGCACCGAAGCCAGCTCCTGATCCAGCTTCTGCACCGAAGCCAGCTCCTGATCCAGCTCCTGCACCGAAGGCAGCTCCTGATCCAGCTCCTGCACCGAAGCCAGCTCCTGATCCAGGTCCTGCACCGAAGGCAGCTCCTGATCCAGCTCCTGCACCGAAGCCACCTCCTGATCCAGCTCCTGCACCGAAGCCAGCTCCTGATCCAGCTCCAACACCGAAGGCAGTGCCTGATCCAGCTCCTGATCCAGCTCCTGCACCGAAGGCAGCTCCTGATCCAGCTCCTGCACCGAAGCCAGCTCCTGATCCAGCTCCAGCACCAAAGGCAGCTCCTGATCCAGCTCCTGCACCGAAGCCAGCTCCTGATCCAGGTCCTGCACCGAAGGCAGCTCCTGATCCAGCTCCTGCACCGAAGCCACCTCCTGATCCAGCTCCTGCACCGAAGGCAGCTCCTGATCCAGCTCCTGTACCGAAGCCAGCTCCTGATCCAGCTCCTGCACCGAAGGCAGCTCCTGATCCAGCTCCTGCACCAAAGCCAGCTCCCGATCCAGCTCCTGCACCGAAGCCAGCTCCTGATCCAGCTCCTGCACCGAAGCCAGCTCCTGATCCAGCTCCTGCACCAAAGCCAGCTCCTGATCCAGTTCCAGCTCCTGCACCAAAGCCAGCTCCTGATCCAGCTCCAGCTCCTGCACCAATGCCAGCTCCTGATCCAGCTCCTGCACTGAAGCCAGCTCCTGATCCAGCTCCTGCACTGAAGCCAGCTCCTGATCCAGCTCCTGCACCGAAGCCAGCTCCTGATCCAGTTCCTGCACCAAAGCCGGCTCCTGATCCAGTTCCAGCTCCTGCACCAAAGCCAGCTCCTGATCCAGCTCCAGCTCCTGCACCAATGCCAGCTCCTGATCCAGCTCCTGCACCGAAGCCAGCTCCCGATCCAGCTCCAGCTCCTGCACCAAAGCCAGCTCCTGATCCAGCTCCTGCACCGAAGCCAGCTCCTGCACCAAAGCCAGCTCCTGATCCAGTTCCAGCACCAAAGCCAGCTCCTGATCCAGCTCCTGCACTGAAGCCAGCTCCTGATCCAGCTCCTGCACTGAAGCCAGCTCCTGATCCAGCTCCTGCACCGAAGCCAGCTCCTGATCCAGCTCCAGCTCCTGCACCAAGGCCAGCTCCTGATCCAGCACCGAAGCCAGCTCCTGATCCAGCTCCTGCACCGAAACCAGCTCCTGATCCAGCTCCAGCTCCTGCACCAAAGCCAGCTCCTGATCCAGCTCCTGCACCGAAGCCAGCTCCTGATCCAGCTCCTGCACCGAAGCCAGCTCCTGATCCAGCTCCAGCTCCTGCACCAAAGCCAGCTCCTGATCCAGCTCCTGCACCGAAGCCAGCTCCTGATCCAGCTCCTGCACCGAAGCCAGCTCCTGATCCAGCTCCAGCTCCTGCACCAAAGCCAGCTCCTGATCCAGCACCGAAGCCAGCTCCTGATCCAGCTCCTGCACCGAAGCCAGCTCCTGATCCAGCTCCAGCTCCTGCACCAAAGCCAGCTCCTGATCCAGCACCGAAGCCAGCTCCTGATCCAGCTCCTGCACCGAAGCCAGCTCCTGATCCAGCTCCAGCTCCTGCACCGAAGCCAGCTCCTGATCCAGCTCCAGCTCCTGCACCGAAGCCAGCTCCTGATCCAGCTCCTGCACCGAAGCCAGCTCCTGATCCAGCTCCTGCACCGAAGCCAGCTCCTGATCCAACTCCTGCACCGAAGCCAGCTCCAGCTCCTGCACCAAAGCCAGCTCCTGCTCCTGCACCAACGCCAGCTCCTGATCCAGCTCCAGCTCCTGCACCGAAGCCAGCTCCAGCTCCTGCACCAAAGGCAGATCCTGATCCAACTCCAGCTCCTGCACCGAAGCCAGCTCCAGCTCCCGAGCCAAAGCTGACTCCAGCTTCATCTGCTGCAGACTTGCGCGCTGAGGCCCGCAGTTTCCCACTCGCCACTCTCCCACCACTCAAGGATCCATGGGTCTGAGTGCTATAGCTGTAGCTGTCAGCCTCACCCTCGTACTTGACCTGTGCCACGTAGCCGGAGTCTCCGGCCACCACGTAGCTGACCTGCTGGCGGCGACCATCCGGCAGGTAGATGTAATACTCGCCCTGAGTCGAACTGTCATCCCGGTTCTCATAGTGACCATAGTTATTACCGGAATAATCGTCTTTTACGTCGTATCTATGGAAGAAATTGTGAGAGAATTATTAGTATAATTTTAGTAATTACGTGAATTATTATTATTCACATTTGTTATAATTTTTTTTTCAATTGTTATAGTAATTATTCAGCGCTGTATGACCCTTGTGGGTTTAGCGCTTAGTTATGATTATAATAATGTAGCAATTATTATCCCTTCCAGGGAGATTCCTTGATGCTGTTGAGGGTCTCTTGATTCAAGGAACCTAATTACCCACCATTCCCTCTGACGTATGACACCTACAGGTTTAGCGCTCCCCCATAAATATTAATATTTAAATTAAAAAAAAAAACTATTGGACAAAATGTGAAGATTTTTAGTGAAAAAAAAAGAGAATGTGTTTGTTGGTTTTGTCGAGAAGAACAACAACGAGTTTTGAAAAGAACGAGAAATAAACGACCAAAGAAAAATAATGAGACATGTTCCACACTTGGTTCACACGGCACTGGCCAGGCCAGGGCCACCTGCAGGCCAGGTCAGGGCCACCTGCAGGCCAGGTCAGGGCCACCTGCAGGCCAGGCCAGGGTCACCTGCAGGCCAGGTCAGGGCCACCTGCAGGCCAGGTCAGGGCCACCTGCAGGCCAGGTCAGGGCCACCTGCAGGCCAGACCAGGGTCACCTGCAGGCCAGGCCAGGGTCACCTGCAGGCCAGGTCAGGGCCACCTGCAGGCACTGGCACTGTAAATGAAGCGACCGGAGATGAAACAAATGAAGGTGACTCACAGCTCAGTTCGGGTCGAGGAAATCACCTTCGACTGTGTCATCTTCTACAACTTCATTAACAGGCTGGGAGGCCATGATCTCTACCGTGCCATTTTAGCCAGTCTGTACGTGGAACACCTCTCATATAAAGGAGGAAGGGATTCAGGTGCCCATTATTTCGAACAGGGGTTTTGAGGGGGCTCTTGGTTCAAGGAAATGGATCAAGGAACCTCCCTTTAAAGGGATTAGTGACATGCATGTTACCTGAAGGCGTAGCTATCATCCAGGTCGTCGTAGTTATCGCCGTGGTCACCACCTCTCTTCGTTATACAAATATACACAAGTTATTATTCCAGGAATTGTTTATAGGCCTAGTCATTGCAGGGCAAACGTTGTGATTGCTATATTTCATTTATTTAGTTACAGGAGTAATCATTGCTAGGAAAACTGTCATGATTCATTAAATATAATCACTTAAGTTACGATACAGTAACAGGCTAACTCATTACAAGAAAAAATATTATGGTTTATTTCGACTATTCCAGTTAACTAGTCATAGGCTGACTCACTGCTAGGAAATATGTCATGATTCATTATATATATAATTATAGACTTGCTTATTACGAGGAAAATATAATTTACATTAAGTTGCTATTGCAAGGAAAATGTTTGTCCTAAGAAGTCTCTAGTAATGGAGATTTTTTTTCCACACAACCCAAAATGACTGAGTTTTCCCCCTTGTAAAGAAATTTACACTTACCTGGGGAGATAAGAGTTATAATCTAACTTACCGAGGAGAGATGTGATGTAGGTACTGGGAGAGAGTAGCCTTGAGAGGTGACACACACAGCACAGAGTAGCGCACACGTCGCTACCAGCACCACCCGCGTCTGTAAGAGACACATTGTAATATTAGAAAAAAAAGGATGGTTTGCATTAAACAAGGTTTATATAATGTAGACAGAGACAGGTGTGTAGCTGTGGTATTAAAGGAAACGTCTCGCCATCAAGTGACACGATATACGTATTTGAAACTGCCAGATCACTTGCTTAAATCCAACCATACTTTGTTAAAATAAAATTGTATACGAATAATTGTAAAGCACACATAAGCTACACTGTAATGTTTTCGTAACTGACTTTATGTCTGTACAAATAACTCATAATGACTGTAAGCAGATATAAACATATAACTACACCATTATCACCGCTGCTTACCCAGTTATGAGAACTTTGCGGCCTAGTCCAAGGACCCATTATTTGCCTGTTTACTATTGTGACTGCCACCCACAGCATGGGAATGAGATGCATAATGAAGATATATAATACTAACTAAACCCCCGATCTGAGAGTGAGAATATAATAAGTGCAGTTGTAGCTATAGTTGATTTTGTGTATAACACAGAAGCAACCTGAGACACTTAAAAAGTGGTGATGCTAAGATAGTTGTCCAAGAAGCTGATTTACGCAGAGAAAAATAATTGGAAGCTGCCTTAACAATAGACTAAACATCAGCTAAAAATGTCTCCATATAACTGTCAAGTCACCTCACTTGGACATTGTCATCACATGACACTAACGCACGCTTCATGTTTCTTATGACCCTACCATCCTGCCTCACTAGAATTTCTATTCTGGGGGGGGGGAGGGCAGCCCTGTATGACCCTTGTAGGTTTAACGCTTGATTCTAATAATAATGATATACTTGGAGAAGGGGGCTTAGGGGTGGCTTTCTGGTCGGAAGGGAGGGCGGTGGAACTAGGAGATTTATTTTGAAGCAATGTTATTATTATTACTATTTTTGTTTGGGTGGCTGAGGGAGTCACTGAGGGACCCAAGCCTCTTAAGGCTGACAAGAAAATAGCCACTGGTCTAGACTAGTCAGGTCCTTCTCCAGGACTAGTCAGGTCCTTCCCCAGGACTAGTCAGGTCCTTCCCCAGGACTAGTCAGGTCCTTCCCCAGGACTTGTCAGGTCCTTCCCCAGGACTAGTCAGGGCCTTCCCCAGGACTAGTCAGGTCCTTCCCCAGGACTAGTCAGGTCCTTCCCCAGGACTAGTCAGGTCCTTCCCCAGGACTAGTCAGGTCCTTCCCCAGGACTAGTCAGGTCCTTCCCCAGGACTAGTCAGGGCCTTCCCCAGGACTAGTCAGGTCCTTCCCCCAGGACTAGTCAGGTCTTTCCCCAGGACTATTCAGGTCCTTCCCCAGGACAAGTCAGGTCCTTCCCCAGGACTAGTCAGGTCCTTCCCCAGGACTAGTCAGGTCCTTCCCCAGGACTAGTCAGGGCCTTCCCCAGGACTAGTCAGGTTCTTCCCCTAGAACCAGTCAGGTCCTTCTCCAGGACTAGTCAAAGCCTTCCCGTAGAATCAGTCAGGTCCTTCCCCAAGACTAGTCAGGTCCTTCTCTAGAACCAGTAGTACCCCTAGTTTCCTCTAGGGAACCTGACACTGGTGAGGGGACCCCCTCCTTATTTTTTTTTTTTTTGATCGGCCCTTATTACCTCCCTCCCCCCCGCCGCCGTGGCACTGTGGCACCCCTGTGAGTTTAGCTCTCCTTCCCATTAAGTTAGGTTCAGGAAACAGAATAAAACTTCTCATAAACGCATTAATAATTTCAAAAGAAAAAATAATCAACAGTTTTCTTTAATAATAATAATAATAATAATAATAATAATAATAATAAATTTCGTTATTACAATTATTGTAATTTATTATTCTAATCATAATTATTCTTATAATAATTTTTAATATAAAAATAATTAAAAAATAATTGTTAAACAAATTATATATCCAGATCATTATAATCATCATCGTGGGGAAGCGCTAAACCCGTTCGGATCATACATCGCCTCAGGAATAGCAACCAGGTTTGATCCGAGGAAGAGGAGGGTAGATCAAAATCCCTTCGAATAAGGAAGAACCCTTCCATAGAAATGAAAGTGACAATATAATAATAATAGTAATAATAATAATAATAATAATAATAATAATAATAATAATAATAATCTTTATTTCTACATGTACAAGGTATACAGTCCTAGCTGACATCAATGTTATGGAGAGCATTTCGAGCAAATTATGTCAATTTTGTCCCCCAGGATGCCACACACACACCAGTCGACTAACACCCAGGTACCTATTTACTGCTAGGTGAACAGGGACAATAGGCGAAACGAAGAACCGGTGATCGAACCACGGACACTCAGGCATATGTGGGCAGAGCGTTACCAAACAAGCCACGGAACAGAACTCTCCCCAGTCTTCACTTTCATATATGATAATATTCACAACATTGCAACATGCTTCACAGAAGGTAACCAAAAAATCTGCAAATTTTCCATCGAGGACACGGGAAAAGATTCCCATCAAAAATGATGTTGGATGATGGTAAAATGTGAGCTACTCTACTATGGAAATTTAAAAAAATAAAAAAAAATATATATATATATATATATATATATAATATATATATATATATATATATATATATATATATATATAAACTGGAACAGAGTACATATAAACAAAGTGACGTCGATCAGGAGAGCTAAACAGAATAGAGACTTGGGGTAATAATACTGTATATAAATAATAAATAATAATAATATATAATAATAATAATAAATTAAATAATTTTTAATAATAAATAATAAATAATAGCAACAATGATAAAAATAAACAAATAAATCGAAAAATATATATATAACACTAACATGTGAATGTCAAGTTTATCCTGTTTTCCCGAGTGGCCGAGAAAGTGTCAGTCGACATACTGAGTCAAAAACCAGGTAAAAGGCAGGTTAGTGAGTGAGTATGTAGGACGTGTGTGGCGTGTTGTGGCGTGTTCCAGGTGTAAGATCATCGCTCACACCACACTTGAACCTGACTTAGTAGTAATCTCATTAAACTACTTGATATTTTAATTAATTTCATATATATATATATATATATATATATATATATATATATATATATATATATATATATATATATATATATATATATATATATTAATATATAACAAATGTGCGTTAACTATTGCTCAGTCAAATTGACAATTGAAATTTGTTACATTTATGCAGTTTTGCAAAAAATAACAATAATAATAATATTATTATTATAATAATAATAATAATAATAATAATAATTATTATTATTATAATTTTAATAATATTTAAAATATTTTTATCATGAGAATCCTTATTATTATTATAAATATTATTATTATTGAAAGCGTTTAAACCTTGTTTAAGTCATAATTCGGTAAAAGAAAATCCAATATAGCTGCCTAACCGGCCTTGTTTATTACCGGAATCAATTCTCGGCAGGCACACGGCCCAGCCTGGCATCTATTACATAAAAACCTCCCACCACCTTTACTTTCAGTTTATTGAAACAAGGCTGTAGTTGTATGTGTGTCGTCAGTTTGTTTTTGATAATTGGACGAGTCACAACACACTCTGGTTTTATTACCATGGCTAGGTGCCTAGAAAGTCCATATTTATCTAGTTTTGTTGCGTTTTAATAACAACCTGGCCTGTGCTAGTACTAGTGATGCTGGATGTCCTGGCTAGTGTGTCTAGGATGGCCTGGCTAGTTCCTATTGACTAGGATATCCTGGCTAGTGTGTCTAGGATCACATGGCTCGTTCCTAGTGACTAGGATGTCCTAGACAGTCTAGGATGGCCTGGCTAGTTCCTATTGACTTGGATGTCTAATTTATCTAGGAATCCTTGCTCGTTCCTATGACTAGGTGTCCTAGCTTGTTGGTCTAGGATGGCTCTGGTAGTTCCTAGATGTCTGATCAGTGGAAGGTGGCTTTCATCACTGGATCAGAGCACTTCGCAGGCTCAAGGACGTATCGAGGTTCTACACACAACAATAATTCTCTGAAGACAGGAACAGCGGATAACAAGACCGCTGGTAATATATTTTTTCCTCCCAGGTACTGAGACGCGACCGGTTGTGTGTGTTGCAACATGTAGTGTAGTTAACATGGAAATTTGCTCTAGTTCCTTAAATCAAGAGCCCTTCACCAGCCAGAAGCCACACCCTGGAAGACCAGGTCCAGCGACTCAATACTCTCCTTCCTTATACTTTCTCTTTCAAATGCCTGACCTTAAGTGAGTTTTTTGAGAATAAAAAAAAAATGCTGGGCAATGCTGGAAGAGAGAAACTCTCTCTCTCTCTCTTTCTCTCTCTCCTCTCTCTCTCTCTCTCTCTCTTCGCCTGAGCCAGGTTCAACTGGTTGAACATGTGTGTTGAACACTGGGTGTAGACCATGTGCACGGGTGATTACAAGGTGTAGACCAGGTGCACGAGTGGTTACAAGGTGTGGACCATGTGCACGGGTGGTTACAAGGTGTAGACCATATGAACGAGTGGTTACAAGGTGTAGACCATGTGCACGGGTGGTTATAAGGTGTAGACCATGTGCACGGGGGGTTACAAGTGTAGACCATGTGCACGGGTGGTTTTTTAAGGTGTAGACCATGTGCAGGGTGGTTACAAGGTGAGCCCTGTGCACGGTGTTCAAGGGGTAGACCAGGTGCCCCGAGTGGTTACAAGGTGTGGACCTGTGCACGGGTGGTTTTAGGTTAGACCCTGTGCAGAGTGGGGTTTCAAGGTGTAACCATGTGCAGGGTGGTTATAAAGGGTAGCCATGTGCACGGGTGGTTATAAGGTTAGACCATGTGCACGGGGGGTTACAAGGTGTAACCATGTGACGGGTGGTTTTAAAGGGTAGACCATGTGCACGGTGGGGACAAGTGAGACCATGTCAGGGTGATTACAATGTAGACCAGGTGCACAGTGGGTTTCAAAGGGGTTTGGGCCATGTGCACGGGGGTGGGTTTCAAGGTGTAGACCATATGAAAGAGTGGTTACAAGGTGTAAACCCGTGCACGGGTGGTTACAAAGGGGTAGACCATTGGGACGAGTGGGTTTCAAGGTGTAAACCAGATGTGGGGTGGTTACAAAGTGACGGGGGGTTATAAAGTGCAGGGGGTGGTTACAAGGGGCACAGGGAGTTACAAGGTGCACGGGGGGGTTACAAGGTGCACAGGGAGTTACAAGGTGCAGACCCGGTGCACGGGTTTATTACAAGATTAGACCATGTACAGAATGAAACAGGGGGAAAAACTTCAAACGGTCTGGACCATTTTAGGGGCGACCAGGGGAAGTGGTTGTTTTATTCAACCCCCGAAAAGCAAGTTATGAAGGGTTTGGGGGGGGGGCCCAAAACCGGCCACGAGTATAGACACGGGGGAAGAGGTGCAAAAACCTATTCAAAGACGACCTGGGAGTAAGCATAGTGCCTAGCATATCGTCAGAAGCGATATAAAAATCATGATGAAAATATATTATTTTATTATATTATCACACCGGCCGATTCCCACCAAGGCAGGGTGGCCCGAAAAAGAAAAACTTTCACCATCATTCACTCCATCACTGTCTTGCCAGAAGGGTGCTTTACACTACAGTTTTTAAACTGCAACATTAACACCCCTCCTTCAGAGTGCAGGCACTGTGATGAAAATGGTTATAATAATAATAACAAAAAATTATTATTATTATTATTATTATTATTATTATTATTATTATTATTATTATTATTATTATTATTATTAAAGAGTAAGACAAGAGAGAGGATCAGTGAGAATGGTTAGGTTATACCATAGCATTCGATTCTTTGGTGGATGTTTCTGAGGTGGTTGACTTTCACTGGCTGGCCCAGTAGCTAGAGGCATGACCTGGCCACCTGTACCTCAGGAACTCCACCAGGGCAAGTGAGAATGTCTTAATGTATTCCTGAACCTGTTGTGGTGCACTCGTGAAGATGTGGGTGTGTCATGTGGGTGTGTGTGTGTGTGTGTGTGTGTGTGTGTGGTGTGTGTGTGTGTGTGTGTGGTGTGTGTGTGTGTGTGTGTGTGTGTGTGTGTGATAGAGAGAGAGAGAGAGAGAGAGAGAGAGAGAGAGAGTACCATGGCGTACTTTTAAGTTCTTCCGTAGATCCCACCATAAGTCAACTAACACCTAACACTGTACGGTGAACACTGGCAGCAGGTGTTAAGAGGCTTGCCCGTGTATCCCACCCTTCCCAGGATTCAACCCTTGTCCTTCGGTTGTGAGCCGAGTACTAAACTACCAGAGATTGTGAATGGTTGTCGAAGGAAAGTGAAAGAAATTAACCAAAGTAACAACGATATAAGTGTTCATCTTCCCTCACTGGGGTGACCTTACACACCAGTGAACATTTTCAAGTGGGGTTCAGCAGATGGATCTCAGCTCCGCTGACACAACCAGCGTCGTGAGACACAATCACGACATACAAGATACTCACGGTCATCGCCAGGGAAAATACTGACATAGAAACAGCACATTTCTTTTTAGTACCAACGTCAAGAGATTTTAATCATTATAATTAATACTATTATATATGGACAAGCGAGCGCTAAACACAAGGGCCATACAGTACCTGGGCAATATGAGGTAAACAGACTCGACTCTATGGGGCATAGCTCAACGTCCTTGAGTCAAGAACCCCTCACAGGCATGAGAGCAGCCACCATGAAGGATCAGTGTCAGTCTCCTTCAAATGCCTAAACTGGGTCAAAATAAAAAAAGATAGATTTTGTCACTGTCAATTATTATTACTATTAAAGATTCGCCGGTATTCTCCCGGCCCGGGCCTTTTCCAAGTGGTGGCCCGGCCTTGGCTCCCTCTTTAGGGAGTGTCTGAGACCTAAGTCTCCCATGGGAGGAGGCACAAGTACCTCCTCATCTTTGGGACCAACTGTCCCCAGGCCTAGCCACAAGCTAGGCCCCAAGGGGGGCTAATGGGAATGACAGTCTTATGAGCTAAAGGCTCGGGCTCAGGCACCTACCCTACCCTAGAAGGGTTAGGCATGGTGTCGATCAACTGTCAACTTAGGTTAGGTTAGGTAAGGTTCGTCAGGAAACAGGACAAATGTTTCCTGACGCGGGTCTTAGTCAGATGATGACCCGCCTTTGGAGCTTTTGGTCATCTGACCGAGGCCTTCCGCTGGCTTACCGGTCCACCCCTTTAAAAATTATGGTCATTTATAACCAGTGTTACCTTTATTGAATGTCAACTTATTATTAAAGATTCGCCGGTATTCTCCCGACCCGGGCCTTTTCCAAGTGGTGGCCCGGCCTTGGCTCCCTCTTTAGGGAGTGTCTGAGACCGAAGTCTCCCATGGGAGGAGATACAAGTACCTCCTCATCTTTGGGACCAACTGTCCCCAGGCCTAGCCACAAGCTAGGCCTCTCTGGTCTGCCATCCCCACCCCAAGGGGGCTAATAGAATGACAGTCTTATGAGCTAAAGGCTCGGGCTCAGGCACCTACCCTTCCCTAGAAGGGCTGGGCATGGTGTCGATGTACTGTCAACTTATTATTAAATATTCGCCGGTATTCTCCCGGCCCGGGCCTTGTCCAAGTGGTGGCCCGGCCTTGGCTCCCTCTTTAGGGAGTGTCTGAGACCTAAGTCTCCCATGGGAGGAGGCACAAGTACCTCCTCATCTTTGGGACCAACTGTCCCCAGGCCTAGCCACAAGCTAGGCCTCTCTGGTCTGCCATCCCCGCCCCAAGGGGGCAAATGGGAATGACAGTCTTATGAGCTAAAGGCTCGGGCTCAGGCACCTACCCTACCCGAGAAGGGTTAGGCATGGTGTCGATTAACTGTCAACTCTTGAGCTACGTAAACATCGGTGTTTAAAAACCACCTGAGTAACATTACTATATGTTTATGTAAGGAATTAATGTTAATTGAAGGTATTTTATTGTTTTTGATATTATTGTATAGAATTGTAAAATATGAATTTTTCTACATGCATGTACTTGACCACCGTCCTATTTTATATATAAATTGGTCCCGTCAGATGACCAAAAGCTCCAGCTGTGGGTCATCACATGACTGAGACCCACGTCAGGAAATACTTGTCCTATTTCCTGATAAACTTAATCTATATTTCAGCGTATATATGCAAAAAGTTTAATCTTAGTTTTAGGTATCAGTACTCTTGTCTGGTGATAAGTTACGTTCAGCCTTAATGACCCTAGTGTAGGTGATAGGCTTTAAACCTCATTAACTAATTCTTCGGAAATATAGTTACTAAACACTTTAAGCACATAACACTTTACATAGCACTATACATATTGTGTATAACACTGTCCGTATCACGTGAGCACTTTAAAATGAATGATTATAATTAAAAAGAAGCGCTAAACCACAAGGGCTATACAGCGCTGCTCTTTAAAATGAAGATAAAATCACTATGAAGGTTGAATAACTCTGTTGGTCGGCGTTCTCGACCTTGATTACAGTGTTTCCTGCTCATCTTCAAGGTCACTGTCCACCACCACAATGGCTGCTAGTCCATAATTATGACATGCATGGGTAAACGCTAAACCCATAAATCTTACATCTTCTGGAGAATGGGAGGACTCAAGTTCGATCAGAGGAAGGGGAATGGATATCCAGTCCATTGAATCATAAAATCCTTTAGCCGGCATCAAGGTATCCCCTTCCCTTGTAGGGAGCGGAAGCTTGATGCTCCCTTCTGACGAGTCTCATTATTCGGTCTGCAGGTCGTTGGTACGGCTTTCGGTTTACAATTGAAGGGAACTCGGTTCGATACCGGGTGATGAAAAGAGACATGCATGGGTGTCTCCCTACACATACAGCTCGATATCATGTTACAGTCAGTAGGTAATTTGGCGTTAGTCACCTGTTGAGGGTCTCACCCTAGCAATAATGATCGTAGGATCCCAATGGAAGTAATTATTATTATAATCAGAAAGAAGAACCAATGGAAGTAAGCCATGCTGCTTTGCTTGCTCGGATTTATCCTAAGTTAACCCTCTGAGATTAATGTGAAGAAAGTCTTGTGCTTTTCCTTGTACACCAAGGCCATGGTACAGTGTTACTGTGTGATGTTCAGTTAGTTAGTTTAATATGTTTATTATGCACCCCATACCCATCCTGTGGGCGGTAGTCAAAAGATTACAGAGGTACATAATGGGTCCAGGAACTGGGCCTCAAAGTTTTGATGGCTGAGCAAGTTACAGAGGTAATGAATTCACAATTTACAAAGGTAATGAACTCCAGGTAGGTCTAGTCACAATCATGACAAGTTTCAGATCATCATCTGTTGTTTTGACAATCAACCTTCAGTGTGATATCAGCAGGAAACCTCGAAGCTGGTAAAGAACAATGTACGCTAAATATACACAGAACTCAGCTCGTTTAAAGTTAATAGTTCGTGGGAGATAAGCGGGAAGAGAGCACAGCATGATTCGTGAATTAACCCATAAAAACCCAAGTTGACAATGATTGCAGGAGACAAGTGACAGAGCACTTAATCAGCTGATATGTCCTTAAAGCCATTTACAGTTATCAACGACAGCAAAACTTGACGGGTGAGAAGAACAGGAAGATGATATTTACTAAATGGAATACAAAAAGAGGTTTTACATACAAGAAGAGGTGAAGGTACAAGAGAGGTGAACGTACCGTCTCCATGGTGGCGAGGAGTGTGAGGTGAAGCGAGAGGTTTGCGTCTTATATACTCAGCACCACACACCCTAGCCACCACCAGCCTGCCCACCAGTGCCCAACATTGCCCACCAGGGACTACAAGTTCCCACCAGGGACCACAAGTGCCCACTAATGCCCACAAGTACCCATAAATGTCCACCAGGACCCACAGGTACCCACAGGTACCCGACTAGTTGTATTCTAGTACTCAATTAGTCTACTCTAGTACTCAACTAGTTGTACTCTAGTACTCAACTACTTGTACTCTAGTACTCACCTAGTTGTACTCTAGTACTCAACTAGTTGTACTCTAGTACTTAACTAGTTGTACTCAAGAACTATAATGAATTGTTTGTGAGATTTCTAGCAACCAAAAAATTATCACTTTACAAAAAAATTATTTAAATGTTTTTGACCATCTTGAAGGGGAGACAATTATTTTCTTGTCATTATTAATAACTATGATGATAATATTTACTACGGGAGCGCTAAGCCCGTTGGGGTGGGCGGTGTATCCTGGAGTCTACCTGGAGGGTTGTTCCTGGGGGTCAACGCCCCCTTCCCCAGCGGCCCGGTCCGTGGCCAGGCCTCGCAGTGGATCAACCAAGCTGTTACTGCCGGCCGCACGCAGTGCGATGTACCAACCTGGTAATGCTTAACAAATATCAATACACGGAAATTTGTGAGAAAATCAACGAAAATGTTACTGAAAATATCCCCCCCCCAAAATAGTAAAGTATCCCCTCGTCAAATCTAAAACGCCATAAATTCCTTTTTTTTTTATTCCAGTTAGTTATGCACACCACATGAAGGAAACACGAGGACAACATGAAGCAAATTTCGAACCACATAAACTGTTTGAAACATCCGTGGCATCATCATGGTGACTTGAGAGTTGTAATTCTTCTCTACCAAACTTATTAAATTATTATTATTATTATAATCAAGGGGGAAGCGCTAAACCCGGAGGATTATACAGCGCCTGGGGGGGGGGGATGTGGAAGGCATTCAGGCTTAATTTGGGGAACTGGAGCACAGATCCAATTCCCTAAATCAAGAGCCCCTCACCAACATCAAGGAACCTTCCTTGAGGGGCAAACTTATTAAAGACACAGCATGAACTAACAGAATATTCAGTTCTCTTGTGTTCATTGTAACTCATCTAATAACCATATGTACAGCTAGGCTACACTAAGTATTTATTTATTTATTTATTTATTTATTTATTTCCAATTTGTGCACACATACAGAGGTACAAAAAAAATACAGATAAGAGCAGTATGCCAAAGCCACTTATACTATGCATAGCATTACGGGCTGGCTTAAAATTAACTTAAGATTAACTAAGCAATGATTATTATTATTATTATAATCAAAAAGAAGCGCTAAGCCACAAGGACTATACAGCGCTGCTACTAAGCAATGATGAAATCAGTGATAAAACATTAATGTAAACCGATAAACTATAAAGCACAAGTGAGTATTACAAAGACAGGTCATATGGTTGCATTCAGTTAGGTAGTGATTCTGTTAGGTAGTGTATTTAAAAAATAATAAAGTTAGATTGGGTTTAGGTTTAACATTTATGTGATATAATTGTGAGAAACATTTAAGATATACAATTTATAATGTTCAGTTATTCAGTATTTATTTGGTTTTGGGTGAGTAAGTAATCTTTGAGAAGAGACTTGAATTTATAAACAGGTTGTGTTTCTTTTATATTTACAGGTAATGAATTCCAGATTTTAGGGCCTTTTATGTGCATTGATTTTTTGCATAGTGTGAGATGGGACACGAGGAACATCAAAGAGTGATCTGTGCCTTGTGTTATGGTCATGTGTTTCGTTGAGGTTGGCAAGATGTTTGGGGGGAGGGTTAATATAAAGAGTTAAGTGTTCTATGTAGTAATAGTGCAGTAATAAGTATGGATGTTTTGTATGGTAAAGTAGGTTTTAGTGTATTGAATATTGTGGAGTGTGCCTGCCTGTAGTGAGAATTTGTTATCATCTAACTGCAGCCTTTTGTTGGGTAATTAGTGGTCTGAGATGGTTAATTGTTGTTGAGCCCATGCACAAATTCCATAGATGAGATAGGGGTAAATATGAGAGTGATATAGGCCAGGAGGGCTGACTGGGAACATAGTACCGTATCTTCGATAGTATGCCAGCAGTCTAGGAAATTTTCTTGGGAATTTGAGTATATGATTCCAAATTATGAGCACCCATCACCAACATCAAGAACCTTCCTTGAGGGTGCAAACTTATTAAAGGGACACATAGCATGAACCAAACAGAATATCAGTTCTCTTTGTGTATTTGTAACTCATCTAATAACTATCGTTTACAGCTAGGCTACACTAAGTGCTGATAGCATTGTTGTCACCTTGTGTTGTCTGCAGTAGAGCTACATTTAAATGTGCTGTATGTAAGAACATAAGAACATAAGAACGAAGGAACACTGGAAGGCCAACTGTCCCATGCGATGCAGGCCAAGTCCCCTTGCTTAAGCACAATGCTTCGCAAACCTAGTCAGTAGAGGTCCACATTGACTAGGGGGAACACGGCAACGTCCCTTAGCCAAGCTATCAGTCTAACTCAACCCATCGCCACATCTACTCATGTATTTTTCCACGCATTTTTAAAGCATACACAACGTTCTGGCCTCTATAATCGGGTATAGTTTGGGAGAGTTTGTTCTAGCTCATTCGCAAAATCTATTACCAAACCAGTTACTTTGATATATGCCTCCTGAATCTGATTTTTCCAACTTGTGTCCAAACCATTGCTGCGATCGTCCTTAGGCTAGATATGTAGGGAGTGAGTCAGGCTATTTAACATCGGCCTTTATTATTGGTCCTGCCTTTCCACTTATAAACCTGTCAATATATCCCGCCTAATTTAGTCTTTCTAAAAGAGATTGCAGTTCAGGGCTTAGTCTATCCTCATGGGAAGGTGTTCTGTATACGTGGGAGTCATTTTGTCATCCTCCTTGGGTTACTTTGTCAGAAATATTTTCCCTTCTGTAATACGGTGGACACAAACTGTGCAGCGTTGCTACTTTGCTTGTACTGCAGCTGGGCTACACTAGGTACTCACCTAATTGTGATTGCAAGGGTCGAGACTCAGCTCCTGGCCCCGCCTCTTCACTGAACGCTACTAGGTCCTCTCCCTGCTCCATGAGCTTTATCATACCTCGTCTTAAAGTTATGTATGGTTCCTGCCTCCACCATCTCACTTGCTAGACTATTCTACTTCCTGACTACTCTATGACTGAAGAAATACTTCCTAACATCCCTTTGACTCATCTGAGTTTTCAACTTCAAGTGTGACCCCTTGTTTCTGTGTCCCATCTCTGGAACATCCTGTCTCTGTCCACCTTGTCTACTTCACGCAGAATTTTGTATGTCGTTATCATGTCTCCCTTAACCCTCCTGTCCTCCAGTGTCGTCAGGCCGATTTCTTTTAACCTTTCTTCATTGGACATTCCCCTTAGCTCTGGAACTAACCTTGTCGCAAACCTTTGCACTTTCTCTAACTTCCTGACGTGCTTAACCCGGTGTGGGTTCCAAACTTGTGCTACATACTCCGTATGGGCCTGACGTACACGGTGTACAGTGTCCTGAACGATTCCTTACTAAGGTATCGGAACACTATTCTCAGGTTTGCCAGGCGCCCATATGCTGCAGCAGTTATCTGGTTGATGTGTGCTTCCGGAGACGTGCTTGATGTTATACTCACCCCAAGATCTTTCTCCTTGCTCGAGGTTTGCAGTCTTTGGCCACTTAGCCTATATTCTGTCTGCGGTCTTCTATGCCCTTCCCCGATCTTCATGACTTAGCATTTGGCGGGGTTATATTTGAGAAGCCAGTTACTGGACCAGGTGTCCAGCCTGTCTAGGTCTCTTTGAAGTCCTGCCTGATCCTCATCTGATTTAATTCTTCTCATTAACTTCCCATCATCTGTGAACAGGGACACTTCTGAGTCTATCCCTTCCATCATGTCATTCACATATACCAAAAATAGCACTATTCCTAGAACCTGACCCCTGTGGGACCCCACTCGTCACAGGTGCCCACTGTGATACCTCATCACGTACCATGACTCATTGTTGCCTCCCTGTCAAGTATTCTCTGATCCATTGCAGTGTCCTTCCTGTTATACGCACCTGATCCTATTGTATTGCTATTGTATTTGTTGCAACCCCTGAATGGGTTGCAATGATTAATATGTATGTATATAATTATTACCTTTTCATATAATTTTATATTTCTTATATTTACGATAATAGCTAAATCGTAAATGTATTGCTTTATATTATTATTTGACTTAGCTTCCTTTGGTTAGGTAGGATGTAACATATTATGTGCTCAGTTCAAGTCTTGATTGTCTAACTACTGTAATTATCGCTTGTGGCTCGTTAGACTGCCGGCTTCTGTTTCTGAGCTGCAGCTGTCCACGGAGCTATCACGTGATCGAGGGGGGTGTCCTCACCTCGCCTGAAGTATTCAGTCTGGTCTAGACTCTCTTGGTGGTTGGACAGATTGTCTGTCTCATTATTCTTGCTAGTTCTGTTGAACTCTGTTCACAGAACATTGTATAGACTTAGTGATTTTCGACGTTGTACTGAGATTGTGTGTCGCTTAGACACTCTGAGCAACTCAGGTCCTGAGCTGTAGCTTCTGACCTAACTTGTACTGGTATCTGTGTATTGTGACAGTCGGGGATTTTCTTATGCTGAACTTAGATTCAGTATTATGGGAGTTTTGTGACTTTTGTGGAGGATCTGTTGATGGTCCCTACTAGCTGTCGTTATATTATCTCCTTGTTCCTGATTCTGTGTCTCAGTTGCTTGTTATATTGCTATTGGGCTTAGCGTTCTTTTTTTTGTTCAAGCAGACTGTTCTGACTGCCAGTTGGTCAAGAAGTTAGTTTATGAGAGGACTTTGTCAGTCACTTGTTTAAGTCTAGTCGAGTCGTGAGACATAGCGAACTACTTA